CAATTTCAAACTTGGTAGGCAACAGACAGAAGAAGGTTTACCACATAGGACTGCAGGCTGGGAATTAATTCCTCTATCACACTAAACCTCGGTTTGTTCCATCACCCTTACCGAATAATTCACTTTTGGCTTCCTCCCAACAACACTTCAAACATAATATTCCACATTTCTGTGAAATGATTTGATCCTACTCATCTTCCTGAGGTATAAATACGATTTTGTATGAGGGTTTTTGAAAGATAGTTTGAGGACAACTAAACGAGCGTTAAAAAGGATTTTCAAAAGCTCCAGATACCTAAGAGAAGGCAAACCACCCTACCTTGGTTTGTGGTAAATTCACTGTGCCTGGCTTTCACAGATCTGACAAAATCAGCCGCAACGATCATTGGCGTGTAGCACAAATCACAGTCGTATTTCCTGACTAAAGTTCTGAAAGGCAACCTAGAAATATAAAAGCATAAGTACATGTTTAATTTATCAAAAGAGTAGGTTTTTTTCCCCAAAAAAATTATTACTCTCTTTAGTTCTGGTATTTTATTATTGACTAGATGACCTTGGAGGTCATCTAGTCCAACCCCCTGCTCAGGCAGGAAACCCTATACCATTTCAGACAAATGGCCGTCCAGTCTCCTCTTAAAAACTTCCAGTGCTGGAGCATTCATCACTTCTGGAGGGAGGTTGTTCCACTGGTTAATTGCTCTAACTCTCAGGAAGTTTCTCCTTAGTTCTAGGTTGCTTCTCTCCTTGATGAGTTTCCATCCGTTGCTTCTTGTCCTGCCTTCAGGCGCTTTGGAGAATAGCTTGACTCCCTCTTCTTTGGGGCAGCCCCTGAGATATTGGAACACAGCTATCATGTCCCCCCTGGTCCTTCTCTTCGTTAAACTAGACATCCCCAATTCCAGCAGCCGTTCCTTATTAAAGTAGAGGTATTCCCTTATTTAAAACTTTTACACTAGAGGATATCTTTGATAAAATGGGGCTTGCAAACGGAGCAAAACAGTCGTTATTAGGTTAATGTGAGCATGATGTTGATTGATGATGCTCAGATAAATGGGCACAACCTGAAAACAGCACTTACTTTGAATACCTAACCATAGGGGCGCATATTTTCACAACGTGTTCCAAATGAAACAAATCAGCTGGGTTTTTCAGTGGAGACTGTCCCATTTGCCCGGAGAGATTGGAGTGGTCAATGTTATCAGGCCGCATCTAAAAAACAAAATTTTTAAAAAGAGGACATAATAGCAATTTTCCCAAATTCCACCGCCATCTCCTCGATTATGAACTGAACGTAGTTTGAGTTTGATTCTGATGGCTGCAAACCCAGCACCCTAGTAGCCATCTGATGAACAGTCTCAAAACATCTTAAGTACACATTTTTTGAAAAACAAAAACCAAAGGAGAAAGCTGAAAGTGGGGCGCATCTGAAAGAGATTCGCAAGGATTAAAAATAATTATAATTTTGTTTTATAAAGGACAATTCAAGAAGAAAAAACAAGAAAGTAGTAATTAAATTACATAAATCTAAAGGGCAGCTTTCTGAAATAAAGGACTGTCTTTTATTCTTTCATAAAGCCCCAAATTCAATGCAAGGTCCAGGTCAGCGTTTCTCAACCCTGGCAACTTGACGGTGGGTGGACTTCAACTCCCAGAAACCTCTGCTGGCTGGAGGATTCTGGGAGTTGAAGTCCACCCATCGTAATGTTGACGAGATTGAGAAATGCTAGACAGTATGCAGGCCACATACAACTCCAAGAATTCCCCAGCCAGAAAATGCTTACTGGGGAATTCTGGGAGTTGAAGTCCACATGTTTTTTAAATCGCCAAAGGTTGAGAAATGCTAGCTTACTCTTTGGAAGCCTCCAAGCCCAGCCTGAGCATACGTCCAATATAATAATAATAATAATAATAATAATAATAATAATAATAATAATAATAATAATAATAATAATAATAATAATAATAATAATAATAATAATAATAATAGGTGCCTTGCAATCCCAAAACTAGAGCACCACTTGAACGCCATTGGCATTGACAAATTCGCCATCAGTCAATTGCAAAAGGCGGCCTTACTAGGAACTGCTTCCATCCTGCAACGAGATCTATAATACCATCAAACATCCACATCTGCCTATCCCAGGTCCTGGGTAAGGACTCGATAGGTAGACAAAAATGCCAAATCCAGTCTGAACATCTGGCTGACTATGCGATGATCAATAATAATAATAATAATAATAATAATAATAATAATAATAATAATAATAATAATAATAATATGCTCCTTTATTTCAGAAAGCCGTCCTTTAGATTTATGTAATTTAATTACTACTTTCTTGGTTTTTCTTCTTGAATTGTCCTTTATAAAATAAAATTATAATTATTTTTAGAATAGATTAGAGCTGGAAGGGACCTTTGGAGGTCTTCTAGTCCAGCCCCCTGCTCAAGCAGGAGAACCAATACCATTTCAGACAGGTGATTGTCCAGTCTCTTCTTAAAAATTTCCAGTGATGGA